TTCCACTGAAGCTAAGCTAAACACAGGTAAGGACACACACACACACACACACTCTCACACACACACACACACCTGAACACAGTACAGCATCCAGCAGAGACACAGGGCCCACACACCCTGCCCAACACACCCAGGAAACACCCTTCATCCTGGGGGGAAAGACCCCGACAGACGCCCTATAAACCTTCATCATGAACACAGAGGTGGAGAATAACAAGTACTTTATTTCATTTTAGACGGACTTTACCACTAGAATTTAAAAATGGAAATATAGCATTTGATTTTATTAATCTAACAGCTTTATTTACTTCACAAATTAAGATTTTGGCATAAGAGAACGTTTAAAAAAGTAGATTTTTAGAGGGTTGTAAATTAAACTATAGCCAACGGTTCATACGAGAACAGATTGAGAGGAAATTAAAATACATTTTCTAATTTATTTTAAATACATTTGATGTTTTTGAATTTGGTACATTTAACACTTTAACTACATTATAATGATTTTACTTATTTTTTTAACTTTATTTGGCTTTTTTCTCCGCTACACCTGTAGGAATTATCATGAAAGGTTTATTTTTATTTCACCTTTTTAACTACTTTTAACTTTACAGTTTTTGAGTGTTTTAGAAGTAATTATTTTAGATTTTATTGCTTTTGGTACTTTTACGTTTAACACATTCATTTTTTTGTTTTTTATAGTTTGTTTCTCATCATCCTGTCACTTCAAAGTCAAAGTCAGAGAGATCGAAAAACAATTTCCTACAATCCCGAGGAATACAAAAAATTTAAATATATATAAAAATATGTATACACCTACATAACTATACTATCTTGTCTTCTCATTTTGCTCTAACTCCATCATGTTCATTCTAATCTGTAAAGCCCACTGAGACTTTTGTGACATTGGGCTTTACAAATAAAGTTTGATTTGATTTGATTTGATATACCTCTGTTTGTGTTTCAGACTCTCACCATGTCTCAGACCGCCAAGTCCGCCTCCAGCCAGGGAACCGACGCCAAGGACAAGGGCGCCCCCCCTGCTGCCACCAGCAAGGCCACCAAGACCGGAGAGCCCGGCATGGGGTCCTTCAGAGTGAGTAGTCCCCGCTGTGCCTGCACTTTAGGAACTGGGTTAATACCAGACACACAAACTGTAGAGAAAATGTACTGAGAGAGAAAAAGACAGATTTGTACCCACTCAACTTGATTTATTTAAAGGGCCAGTTACGTAGAGAAAAGTGACAGAAAAAGACATATTTTGGGAGATTGAAATACCCATTTTGAAATGCATTGGTTAAAGTAGAGAAAACTGAGAGAAAAAGACATATATTTGTTGACTGACATAGTTTTCTATTCAGATAATCGAGTCTTTTAGACGCATTAAAGCTTTCCATTGTTTGATATTGCATGGATTAGTTACCTTTCATTCAAAGGAATGAATGCAGCATAAACCAATCACTGACTGCCCTTCTCTATCTCTCTGGTAGTATAACTGTTCCCTGCTGTTCCCTGTGTGCAGATGATGATGTTCGACCAGGAGAACTTCCAGGGAAAGATGATCGAGGTCCAGAATGAGTGTATGAACGTGTGTGACCGTGGCATGGATAGAGTGCGTAGTATCATTGTGGAGTGCGGCCCGTAAGTGGACACACATTACTGCAGATATATTCTTATATATATATAATATTATCCCCTCTAATTGTGCTCTCCTCTCCTCTCCTCCCTCACCCTCCAGCTTTGTTGCATTTGAGCAGACTAACTTCCGTGGGGAGATGTTCATCCTGGAGAAGGGAGAGTATCCTCGCTGGGACACCTGGAGCAACTCCTACCGCAGTGACTGCCTCATGTCCCTCAGGCCCGTCCGCATGGTACGCTCTAATGAGACGATTTCATACATATTTAAACACGACGGCATTATCCTACATTTAATAAGATCATTATATAACAACCTGGAGCAAGTCCTAGCGCAGCGACTGCCTCATGTCCCTCAGGCCCGTCCGCATATACGCTCTAATAAGACGATTTAAAATATATATATAAACATGACAGCTTTATTCTACATTTAATAAGATCATTACGTAAAAACCTGGAGCATCTCCTACCACTGCCTTATGTCCCTGAGACCCATCGGCATGGTAGGTTCATTATATACTGCATTATCTAACATTATATGACATCATTATTGAGAAATAACCCTGTAAATAACCCTAACTAGACGGCATCATCTTAAGATGAAAGCAAAATGAAATGCTACCTTTGTTGGTGAACTTTAATACGAATAGTTCTATGAAACGAACAAAGATAATGACCTGAACACGATTTAAATTCTTATTCAACACCAGAAATCTGAGGACATGACACATATTTAAATAGTAGAATAAGAAAAAGTAGAATAGAAACTACAAAGACATTCAGTTTACTATCATATATACAATTTAGGAAGCTCGACCTCAGATATTTTGGGGATATTTTGCTTTAAAAAGTGACTCAAACTTCCTATTCGCTATGATATTCCCTCTCTCTGATCAGCCTTATCACCCATACATAATGTACTGTAACATGACCCCCTGATCCCCCCCCCTGCAGGACAGCATGGAGCACAAGATCTGCCTCTACGAGCTCTCCGACTTCAAGGGCAACAAGATGGAGATCCAGGAGGATGATGTTCCCACCCTGTGGGCGCATGGGTTCTGTGACAGAGTGGGCAGCGTGAGGGTTCCTGGAGGATCGTGAGTACACATCATATACTTTTATAGATTATAGTTCCTATTCAGACACCTAGAGGAAACATAGAAGCTCCTAAAGGTGCAATAAGATGTCCTCAAAACAATTATAAAGAAAACGGAGAGAACACTGAGAGAAAAAGACAGATTTTTAGTCCCACCTGTTGGAAACAACCTGCTTTGATAAACAATCTGATCTATTTAAAGGGCCAGTTACACACATATCCTCACATGCAGCAAGGCAGAGAGATTTGGATTTATAACCTACGTTTTTGAAATGCATTGGTTAAAGTAGAGAAAAAACTCCTAAAGGACCTCTTTAAAGACCCCTGGAAACTCCTCACGGACCCATAGAATCACTTCAAAGACCCCTAGAACCTCCTCAACAGCCATTCAAATCATCTTAGGGACCCGTAGAACCTCCTCAATGAAAACCAAACCTCTGAATGGACTTCTAAACACTTATGTATAACTAAGGACTTCTTAAAAAAAACCTGGAACCTCCTCAGCAGATGCTAAAACTGCTTTAGGGACCCTAACCCTAACCTAACCCTAACCCTAACCCTAGAACCTCCTCAATGAAACCCAAACCTCTTAATGGACTTCTAAACCCTTATATATGACTAATAACATCCTTTGGTTTCGTAAAACTCTTAAAGGACCTTTTAAAAACTGCTGGAACCTCCTCAGCACACACTAAACCTGCTTCAAAGACCCCTCGAACCTCCTCAACAGCCACTTAAATCATCTTAGGGACCCGTTGAATCTCCTCGATGACCAAAAACCCCACTGGTCTTCTCAGAACTCCTTAAAAGATCATTTTAGGGACTCCTAGAATCTCTTCAATGAAACCCAAACCTCTGAATGGACTTCTAAACACTTATATATGACTAAGGACCTCTTAAAAAGACCCCTGGAACCTTCTCAGCACACAATAAATCTGCTTTGTGGACCCTCAGAACCTCCTAAAGAACCCTTAAGTGTACTCCTGTACCACCACTTTAACATCCTATAATCAAACCAATGAGTTTAAGCATGATACTGTTGACAATTGACCCTTGACTAACCCTCCTCCCTCTCCATCTTCCCTCCCAGTTGGGTGGGTTACCAGTACCCCGGATACAGGGGCTACCAGTACCTGTTTGAGTGCGGAGACTACAGACACTACAACGATTTCAGCGCCTACCAGCCTCAGATGCAGTCCATGCGTCGCATCAGAGACATGCAGTTCCACCAGAGAGGCTGCTTCACCTTCACCGCCGCCACCAAGTAAATACTGACCCCACCCACCATCTTTAGATCTCCAACCCTTCCCTAAATCTACACCACCATCATGGCTCCATCCCAAAGGAAAGACCGGATGAGAACTCAACATCCACTGACTTTTTATGGTGCTAAAAAATAAACAAGTTTTGAAAAACCTGAAAAGCTCACTGGCTGGATTATCTTTATTTATCTCCAACAGGAACAGTGGGGTTGCTGTTGGAGTTAATGGTGTGTTTGTTGTTTGTTGTGCCCTTAAAGTGAAGTGTGTTTATTTATTTGCATCTCCTACAGGTCGCTATTATATTACAGTTATTATTAGATATCTTAATGGGTAAAAAAATCACATTATACTGTTTTATATTACCTTCAATGTGCAAGGTTATCAATGATACATATACATTTCGAAGCATCATTTTGAGATGACCACATTTAAATCACACACACACACACACACACACACACACACACACACACACACACACACACACACACACACACACACACACACACACACACACACACACACACACACACACACACACACACACACGAAATGTAATAAATACAAAGAAAAAGTAAATAATATCATAGTTTTTTGCTTTTAAAAGAGCCATACATTTGGTTATTTGCTACATTTTTATTTGTTGACCTACATGTTGTACTATTACTTAAGTGAAAGTACCATTACTACAATAAATAATACTCCAGGTATTTATTTCTTAGTTATACCAACAACAAACACAAGGTGGTATAGTAACTGAGACTCCAAGAAAAAGTGGTTTTAATACATTTACTGGTTGCTTTGGGACTTTAACATTTAATTAATAAGTTCAGGTGAATCAAAGACACACATTGAATTGAATCTAGGAGAGAAAACCTAAAAAATATGGTTGGGTTAAGTTTACGTAACGTCATGTTAAACTGGTCCACGTGTTGCCTTCACTGGCCCTCGGAAACTCCATTATCAATGCCCAAGAGAAAAACAAAAAAAGAACATTGTGAAACACCTTTAAAAGCCTCGTTGGCGACATCTACACAATTTTGAGGTACTTAAAGCTTAAACATAAAATAAATCAATGATTAAATACACTTTGACAAATATGTATAGGTTCAGATATCCAACAGCAGTATATAATGTTATTCAAATTAGCTCTACATTGACCAGCTGTGATACAAATACATTAATAATCATAATAGTGAGAAACCACGTACCTCAATTTGCTGTACGATTATGTACATACTTTCGTTCATAATTCTCACCTAACGTTTGCTTCCACCTGCTAGTACTAATAATTCTGACGGCACGTAAACGCAGCATTGTGTTTCATAACACCTCAGTTAAAATCTGTTCCTGAAGGAGGCATGGCTGCTCTCTTTAAAGCAAGAAAAGGTGAGTAAATGAGGAGAAATATATATAAAAATAACCAACATTACAGGCATAGGCTATGTAACACAATGCTAGCAATGCTACATTAGCTTCGTGTGGAAACTAAGGGAAAAACCATAGAGAAATATCATAGTTAGCTTAGCTTGATATGTAACCAGTGCAAACATGAAGGTCTTATTATGTAATTTAACACTTTATATGATACCTTATTGTCTTATAAATATACATGTGTGTTAGCTTTCGTTACTGACAGAGGAAACGCGTTGTTATAATATGTTAAACATGTTTCTTAGAGTTAGCTTTCGGCTAATTGTAGGGAAGAAGTTAGCAGCTACATGTTAGCTTTCGGCTAATTTAGGTAACAGGTTAGCTATGTTTAATAACATTAATAACAAGTAATGACGTAGTTTAATGAATGGCAAATCTTGTTGTTTGACAGATATTCTTGATAGTTTGGTGTTTCTATAACTGTCAGAGAGATATGAAGGTGACTGAGGATGAGGATAACCTTTCACCTACTTCATGTAAAGCTAGCAGTGGTGCCTGGTGCGTTCAAAGACAGAAGGAAGTCTATACAGAATAAGGGGAATAAAGGAATGTGTAATTATATGTGAATTATATGGAAGTATTCAGATGATTTACTGAAATAAAATTGCTATTATAAACAATACTGTTACGACAGTAAAGGGACAAAGTACAACAGAAACAAAAGCATGCTTTAATAAATAGCTAAACAGTAAAACATAATTTAGTATTGTATTTAGTGATGCATTTTCTTCATGCATCTCTCTTTCTGTCCCGTCCTCAGCGCTCGGTCTTGAATCAGATTGTAATTGCAATATCACAATAATCACAGTAATCCCAATCATCTATTCTCCACATCGTTCATCCCTGGTTGAGATATTCTAACTAATGAATCTTTCTATCTCCTCCCTCAGCGCTCGGTCTGTGTCTCTCCTGTCGGAGTTTCTCGGCTCTGGCTGAGCTCCCGGAGACTCACCAGATGCTCCGACAGATCTGCAGAGACTTCGCTGACCGAGAGCTGACCCCCATCGCCGGGAAGCTGGACAAAGAGCATGCTTTCCCTAAAAAACAGGTACAATTGAACTCTTGCACTACTACCGCTCAGGTTGCAGTCGAATTGTCCAAAAATCTGCTCCAATCGTCTCTTCCTATCCACTATTCCTTGACCTCTGTGTGAAACTATTTCTATTCTATTTTATTTGTATTTACTTGCACTATTTTACCTACTGTTGGAGGAGCCTGTGAACTAAGATTTTCATTGACATATCTACACGGTATGTACAAATGACAATAAAAGCCTTGAATCTTGAAAACATCCCAGGGTTAAGGAATAGTAGATAGGAGAATTCAAAAGGACTTAGGAAAAGAGACTGCTTTGAGAATCCGACTGCATTTGCACTCTCAAAGTATTTATGATGAGCCAGCGGACGTCATAAATGTGCGTCTGCTGCTGTGCGGAAACTACAGTTTTCTATACAGCGGACTACACAAGATAAGATAGGACTTCATAAGGAAATGGTTGTGCCAGACTTAAGGTCCTTACACACCAAGCCGACTTCGGCCGTCGATAGATGTCGGGCCGTCGATGAGCGTCCTGTCGCCCTACTCAGATTGGTGTGTCCCGCCCCGTCTTGTCTTTTCGGCCGTGCCGACACCCTCCGTCGCCGATTCGACATGTTGAATCGGCGGGCAGTCGGCCTAAGAAATCACTCTGATTGGCTGTTCAGCTTAGCGAATCAGTGCATGAGAAGCGAAACGGAAGTGAGGGACCCAAACAAACGATTAAGAAGGCACATCTGAGATTCCACAGGTTCGGGAAAGCCCCGTGAGCTTCTCGCTGTAGAGTGAAAATGGAACGCACACGCTATTTGTTGTTTGTTTATATCACGCAGTCTGTTCTTCTTCTCTCGGTGTATCGCGCAGTCTGTCTTCCGGTTGTTGCCTCTTTTGAATGACGAATACACACTACCGCCGCCTGCTGGTAAGGAGAGTTATTGCCACTCACGCATGCGCAGTTCGTACGTGCTTCTTGGCCGTCGGCTGAAGTCTTTGCGGTGTGTTCCAGTGCGACACATGGCCAAGACGCAGAGACGTGAGGCGACACAACAGACGTGTTCTTTGCTGTCAGTTTGGTGTGGAGGGGCCTTTACAAAAATACAATAAACACAGCAGCATAATAAAACATAAAACAACATATGTGCAAAGTGTTTAGGGTTATTGAAAGTAACTAACCAAAAATATTTCCTGAGACTTCATTTGAGATGTAAGATCTTCTGGTTTCTGAACATGTTCTGAATGACTGTGAGTAATGTATATGGTAAGGGGGTTATCACATGTTTAAGGTATGTAACATGTTCTTCCTGTGCACGCTGCTGCAGATCCAGGATTTGGGAGCGCTGGGTGTGATGGCCATAGAGGTCCCGGAGGAGCTGGGGGGGGCGGGGATGGACTACCTGGCCTACAGTCTGGCCATGGAGGAGATCAGCCGAGGCTGCGCCAGCACGGGGGTCGTGGTGTCTGTCAATAACGTGAGTGTGTTTTTTATATCAGCTGTTTTTAAAGGTCTCCTATCATGCAAAATGCACTTTCTGATTTATTTTATACATAAATATGTGTCCCCGGTGTGTCAGGAGACGAAAATAAAACCCTCTCTTTTCCTCCGTACCCACATCTCTAAAAACGGGATTTGCGTCCGATATGACGAATATCTGAAATGTGGGCGGGCTTTACACCCACGGGCCAATCAGAAACGTTGCTATCAGAAACAATGAGACGTGTTCTGGACGTAATATGGTCTGTGTTTACATTAGCATCGCTAACACTCAGAGCTAACCTGTACTGGAGAGAGCATGTGTAAAGAAGCAGGAAATAGAAAGGAACTCACCTTGTGGTATCCCTGAGAGAGAGAAAGAGTTTGAGCTCCATACTGTTTCAGAGAGAATCCTTGATGTGGTTTGGAACATGATATGGTGTTTAATCACGTTTTCTTTTTTTAAAGCTGCGGACCCAGAATCAGCACTTTAGTAACGGGCTGAAATAGAGGGGTTTGAGGCTAGAATGCATGATCTGTTTGGTACTTCATAGACATGTTTTTTTATATATCTGAGACTTATAATATTTGCCTAAGAATAGTATAATGGGAGACTTTTAAGATTCAAATGGGTTAAATCATGATTAAGCAGCTACATGGCCTGTGTTCTCCCCTATAGCTAATAAACAATAATATTTCTGTGTGTTTCCTAGTCTCTGTACATCGGGCCGATATTAAAGAACGGCACAGAGGAGCAGAAGCAGCAGTGGATCACACCGTTCACCACCGGAGAGAAGGTGGGCTGCTTCGGACTCAGTGAGCCAGGTAAACGGGTCATTCATGATGATGATAACAATAATAATAACACTGTTAGTTATATATTCACGGGGGGTGGGTCAAATGGCTTTGCAATCAAGTTAACTAAATACATATTGATCCCCCCTCCAGGTAACGGCAGTGATGCGGGCGCTGCCTCCACCGTGGCCCTTCAGGACGGAGAGGACTGGGTTCTGAACGGGACCAAAGCCTGGATCACCAACAGCTGGGACGCCTCGGCCACCATCGTGTTCGCCACCACCGACAAGAAGCTCAAACACAAGGCAAGACACGTCTTACACAAAGAGATAAAGGAAGCATTGTGATATCTAGAAACCTGTTTCACATATTTGTGGTGCTTTGTTACTTCCTCTAAGGTGT